CATATCATTTCATCACTTCCCATTGAAGGAGTGCAGGACAATGATTTAGCATCATTCTTCCCAACTCTTACCAGCCTCCTTTTTGTTGTGCTGTCTGCCATTCTTTTTAAGTGACTGCTATCTCTGAGCTTCAGGGGCCATGAAACTAAAAAGGTTATTTGCTTTTCTGATGGGAGTTGTGAGGACACTGAGCCTAATTGCCTTTCTGGCTCCGCTGCTTTTTCTATCTTAAATCCCACTCAATCTCCCTTCCGACATCTGCCAGAGCAAATCAATAAAAAGACCCTAAAGCCCTTTCCTTGTTCTCTGGGATCATTGGCCTTCTGCATGCCCACTTGAAAACATTTTCTCCATCATCTGAGCACCCTGGGAGCAACCCCAGGGAAAATGAAGACTTATTAAAGACTAAAACCAAGATCCTCAAGAGTCCAGATTTCGCACGGCACAGTAAACTAAATCTTAGATTTCATCTCCCCAGCATACAGTAGAGCTGTGGGAAAATGTTAAGAGATGATGGGTTTTAAAAAACAAGACATCCTTTAAGGTTCAAGGAGAATGTTGCTTTCAACGAGAAATCTCACTGCCATTTGTAGACAGTGCATGTCTCATTTGCTCATGTTTGGCCTTCATAGCTTTAATTCATATAATTAATATGAATTTAATTCATATAATTAGCTTTAATTCATATAATTAGCCATGAAGCTTGAAGATTTATACTCTCTTAGTAAGGAGCTTTTGAACTTTGGTGTTGGAGGAAAATTCTGAGAGTGCCTTGGACTGCAAGAAGATCCAACCAGTCCATACTTCAGGAAATAAAGCCCGACTGCTCATTGGAGGGAAGGATATTAGATGCAAAGATGAAGTACTTTGGCCACATCATGAGAAGACAGGAAAGCTTAGAAAAGACAATTATTCTGGGGGAAATGGAAGGAAAAAGGAAGAGGGGCTGACCAAGGGCAAGATGGAGGGATGGTATCCTTGAAGTAACTGGCTTGACTCTGAAGGAGCTGGGGGTGGTGACGGCCAACAGGGAGCTCTGGCGTGGGCTGGTCCATGACATCACAAAGAGTCAGAAGCAACTGAATGAATAAACAACACTAAGGTGCACAGAATATGTAAATAAGACGAGCATTAATATTTGAGTAGGAAAATGTGCCACCATCAAGCTTTTGTGGTGACTAAGTGTTGTCATTAAAGCCTGAGAGAATAAGACCTTTCTGGCTTAACACTGAGCTCCTTGAAATGCATCAGGCTTCGTAAGATCCAGAGCTCCTCAACTTTATAGGGACGGATTTGCAGCAATGGATAGTGATGGGAATCAGAGCTGTTAGGCTCAAAAAATAACCCTCATTTGGGGTGATTCCACAAAAATATAGCAGAAGGCCAGAAGTATAGTACATAACCAGCAGAAGGATATGTGAAGTGAGCAAGGAATAGTTTTCATTCGTCAGGATGGAACAGGATTGCAGGAGCCACAACTTCATAGGTTCCAAAAATATATGTTTATTGAAGTCAAAAGAAATCAGTTCTGGATAGAGAAGGTTCTTGGAGCTAACTAGCTTACTAAGCTATCTTCTAAGAAAAAGAAAAAGGATAAAAAAAATAACAAATAGTATCCATGCAGCTACGTCTTGCCTGGAGAAAGGCAAGATGCGTCCTCACTCAAAGAAGACAAAGGAAAAGAGAGGCCGAAATGGAGAATGACCACTTGGCCAAACTGGGGCAGTTAAGCCAGGGCAATCAAAATACCTTTAAAGAGGAAGTTACCTCATCCCTCACAGATATCACACTGCTAAGTATTCAACGGGGGATGAGATAGTGGCAAGGAGGAAGAGTAAGATAGAGCCCCATGTGAGATAGGCATGCATAGGAATTTGGGGAAGGAATTGTTGTTTATTTGTTCAGTTGCTTCTTGACCTCATGGGCCAGCCTAAACCAGAGCTCTCGTTCCCTCACTCTAATTCTATCTAGGCTAACTACCCATTAAGGGCTGGAGACTTGTGCAGTCAGGGATGAAACCCAACAGATAGAAGAGTTAAATAAGCATGCCTAAGACTGTAAACATATTCCCATTTGTAGAGATTGGAGTGCAACCTTGGAGTTGATTTTTCCCCCTTATAGCTTTCCCCTTCCTACAAAGAGCAGAGATGGATAAAATGAATTGCTACAGGGGCTTTATATGTAAATGTGTGAGAAATCAGATTCCATCTGTTTTACTTTCTGCTGTGACAGACTCATAATAGAGGAGGCACTCCCAGATGCCTGCCTCCGCTCACTCGGTAGCATATAGCAGCCTTGTGGGTTCTGACAGGAGAAGATGGATAGATTCTCTTATTTTCACATTCCCGAATACTTAGATAAACTCAGCTGGCTGCGCAGGGCTAACTGCATAGAGCTAGTGCTGTGTGTCGCTTTATAAACATTGGCCGTTCCCTCTGGAGGGGAGGCCCCTAGCAGACTGCGGCACATACTGTTTGATTAATCAACTCAACCTGGCAGCAGATGTGACTTGAAATCCAAACTCCCCAAGCTGTGAGCATTTCAGTGCTGGAGCTCTAGAGAACACCTCCTTTTAATTACAGTGGTCAGGCCTCTACAGCCAAGAAGCAACTAGAGCTTGCCTTCCATATTCCCGGCTGGCATTTGCATGCTTGGTTGGAAAACCAACATAAACTCCGGTAGCAAAGAAAACAAATTAGCTTTCATACAGTATGTGATAGGCAGGCAGTCTATGGGCCACATGGCTGCTTTGCTTAACCTTATGGATCCCTGATGAGCCTTGCCCACTTGACCCCAATGCCCAAATCGACATCAGGATAACAGGAAATACATTCACATTCCCAGAGTCTGGAAAAGGTTCTTAGGCTTACAATCTATTGTTATTATTGTTTTTACGTATATCTATGAATTGGTTATTTTATGTGCGGCACTTTGGTGTGCTTTGTGAGTCATCCCAAGTCCCTTCAGGGAGATGTTGGCGAAGTATAAATAAAATTTATTGTTATTATTATTATTTGAAACACAACAAGATGAGTCCACAGCAAACAAGGTCACTCTCCTGGCTGTTGTATTGGATCAGACGTCAGACACTTCCCAAGTTTCTAGGACTGTGTGATGTATCAGCTTATTATTATTATTATTAATAATAATAATAATAATAATAATAATAATAATAATATCCAAAAAGTAACATGTCTGTTGCAGGCCTGTTGATAACAGCAAGGAAACAGGGTTCTTGATCAGAATGTGATGGGACACACACTGATTTTTTCCCACCTTCCCACCCCAGCATACACAAGATCATTGTTTTTCCCCTTCTGTTAGTAAATGATCGTGCATAACCAGATTATTTTTTTATCAAAATCACTGCACTTAATATATTTTACAATTCTGCATATCTCATCATAAATGAGTAACATCACCCTTTTAATCAAGACTGGGGTTAAGATGTGGACCTGCCTTTGAAAAGTGCTCAGAAACTTCAGTTGGCCCAGAAAGCAGCAACCCAGGTCATTAACTGAGGCTGGATACAGTGAGCGAACAAACTCCCGTTGCAGCAGCTCCACTTGCTGCAAACTTGTTTCTGGACACCATTTAAAGTGTTGCTTTTGACCTATACAAGTCCTATATGACTTGGGTCCAAGTTGTTTGAAGAAGCTTATCTCTCTCTATGAACCTGTTAGAATTCTATGAATTTCTGGGGAGGGCTTTCTCTCTGTCCCAGTACCCGCTCGAGCACATTTGGTGGAAACAAGGGAGATTACCTTTTTGGTGGTGCATAGAGACCAGGATGGCCCCATCCCTCCTTGCCTTTTGCAAGCAAGTTAAGACATTTCTTTGCGCCTTCAGGCATTTGGGGGAGGAATGAGGGGCACAGTACTTGGGAGATTGTTGGGTGGAGTTAGGGAGGATGTTTAGCTTAAATGTAATTTGAACTGTACAAGTATTTCTATTGTATCTTAACTGTATTTCAACTTATATCCATGACACAAATATTTAAATGTTTTCAATTTTTGCATTTGCCATTATTTTTAATTTATTAAGTTGTGTCATATTACTGTAAGCTGCCTTGAGTCCCTGTGAGGAATGTTATTAAAGTGAATAAATAAAAATAAATGTTCCTTTATTCATAGTCCAAATATGATTTTGCAATTTAGGTGGATTTAGCCTTTAGGTGGATTCTTATTTGCTATCCCATGGTATTAGAGTTGATTTTGCCTGTGAAATCACAGTGAAACAATTCCAAGTATCTGTGATTGGAGGGTCTCTTTGGAGCTTCATCAATTTGTCGAGGAAAGAGAAAGAAAATGGCAAAAAGATTTCAGATATCAGTATAATTACTAATTATACCAACAAAGTAGGATTGGCACATAGTAAAGTATCCTAGGCCAGCATCTCCCAATCAGATACCTTTGGTATGTATTGGATTTCAACCTGGTTGCTGTTCTCCATTTACTCTGTGGTGACCATGTTGACAAAAAGGTGGCAAAATAGTACAAATCTATTTTAACTTAATGTCAGGGGACAGAAAGGTCTACTCCCCATCTGTAAGACTAGAACTTGGAAATATTGAACTACATCCTGGGAAACACGTGGGGGATTCTAGGAGTTTTCATTCCAGAAAGGTAATTTTGCAAAGGTTGGCATGAAACAGCTTCAGCAAGAAGAGCCGCCACTGTAGATGTGTGAGAATAGGGCCCAAAATATCTGTGCTTCTACTTCTGCACCACCACCACCTCCCAAGGGGACTTGGATTCAAGCAGTCTAGCAATCTCCTTTGAAACTGAAGGGACTTTCTGCACAGTTTTTTATTTGACATGAGGGAAGGATGATAGTATGGCTGAAGAAGGAAATCCCACTGAGACTAAGCTCACCTTCTTGGGGGACCTCAAGGTAGTTCTCTAGATTCTATGTAAGATGCAGAATTATAAATTGACTTTTGTTCTGATATATCATAGTTGCTGACTGTTAATGTGTGTATATTTTTCTCTTTCTTTTAGGCTACAATTGGAATTGACTTCTTATCTAAAACCATGTACTTGGAAGACCGGACAGTAAGTAGCAGGAGGAGCTAATATTTTCAAGCTAAATATTCAGACAGATGTAACAGGCAAACTTAGAGGAGATTTTAAAAGCTGACATTATCCTGTACATAATTTATGCATGTTCTTTCACATTGGTTTGTTTTTCAGACTGCCATATGTCTATATTTGTGTGTTTTTAGCTACATAAGATATTTGAATTGTGCTGTTAACATCATGTGGTCTCTTTTTGTCCTTCATAATATTACATAAGCTACTTTGCATTGTAGACCTAGAGTAACTGAGCAGATCCCTTTGTCTAGCTCTAGCCTCATTCTGTTAGGGCCCTTCCACACAGCTCTATGTCCCATAATATCAAGGCGGAAAATCCCATAATATCTGCTTTGTTTGGGTCCACACTGCCATATATTCCAGTTCAAAGCAGATAATGTGGGATTTTCTGCCTTGATATTCTGGGATATAGGGCTGTGTGGAAGGGCCCCTAGAATATAATGACACTTTGATTATATATCTTAGGGCTCTTCCATACAGCCATATAACCCAGAATATCAAGGCAGAAAATCCCACAATATCTGCTTTGAATTGGGTTATCTGAGCCCACACTGCTATATATTCCTGTTCAAAGCAGATAATGTGGGATTTTATTCAGCTGTTTAGAAGGGACCCTAGTTTGACCTCAAATACTATGGCCAACCCCAAAGCCTCAAAAAATGTTTCCTCATATATTGGTTAAGTCTGGCTTTGGAGGTATATAGGTTCAGTAGGTAGTTTTCATATCTGTGGCTGATGACTATTTCATGAAGTACAGTCAAGGGTTCCTGTGCATTTGTTCTGTGCTAGTCCTTCTCCAAGAGATGTTGTTGTTATCTTCCTTATCCTAGTAAATATCCTAGGCTGTCTTCACATATTTCTATGAGCTCAACCACTGGGTATCAGTCATGGAACTATCATCCACCACAAAGGAGTGGGCAGGGGATTGGTCTGAAGAAGACAACTGATTCATGGGGTCCACTGACTACGCCTATGGAGTCTCTTGTTTGTGCCTTGGCCTTGAACTCAGATCTTCTGAAATTTCCTGTTTTGGACTACAAATACCAGAATCCTTCATCTAATATAGGCTGCATTGCATTTTGAGAGTTGTAGTCCAGAAAGGTAATTTTCTCAAGCTCAAGATTTAAAAAAAAAGAGTGTTTTCACATATCTTCACATTATTGGGAAATAGTGATCTTAATGGGACAACTTTTTTGACAAATGCTGATCTGCTATTACTGACTTTCTTATAGTAAAACTTCTAAGGAGTCACTGTCTTTCCAAGCTTAGCCCAAAAACTGTTGATCTTGCTACTGTGCATGTGGAAAGGATTCATGTTGCCCTTACATTAACAAGTAGTTCGGAATGAGTATCAGAGCCTCTGAGCTATACAAATATATTGGAAAATTGAACATTGCTGGCACATTTAGAAAGCCCTGGGATGATGTTGTATATGCCTCTAGGGACATGGGGAGAGATTTAGCTATATAGTTAGCATCTATTAATTTTGCTGAGCAAGGGTTATATCACTGGCATTTCAACCATGCTGGGTATTATAAAAAGCAGAATCACATGCTTAAAAATATGATGGAAAACATGGATAATCTCTGTCCCATTGCTCCAGTCACTGAAAAAGTATCCAGCAGGATAATAGACCAGTAAGGCTAATTAACAAAGCTTGCATCAAAACATTTTTCAACATCGCCTGATTCTTAAAGATAATATTGAGATGCCTTAATTATAGAAGCAACTACCCTGAGTGACATTCTTTCATAGACACCAGAGTGCTCAAAGGAAAAAGTGGTGTCACCAAAAGACATTCCACTAAAGACTTGAAAAAAATGGGGAAATATGTGAGAGAAGAGGCAGGCTCAGATAACTTGGTCCTAAATTGTTTAGTTCATCTTAAGACCAACTCTGCCTTAAGGCCCAGTCAGGCAGTCACCTCCAATAGTAGATCAGGAGGGGCAAAAAAAAATCACAATTTCACCCACTGCTTGGATTGGGCTGCTCTGGACCCAAATTCAGAGCCATCTCATTCTTAAATTCTCATTCTGAGGGGTCCTTGCAGTAACTTTCTATGGGAAGCATGAGCTGGGAAATCTACTATGCTGTGGCACCAGTGATTATTCAGATCATCTCTTCCATATTATCTTATGTTGGAGATCCTCTTGGGACCAGCCAGTCAAAAATTAGCCAGCTGGATGGAAGACATACAGCTCTCCCAGTTCTGGCAGCAATGCTACTATCATCAACTTATTCTGCCCCTCATTTTATCCAGTCATGGTGGAGGTGCCAGCCCCTCTGTTGTGGGTGGGCACTTTCTTTTCACAACAGGCTGGGTGTGGTATACACAACTGATGAAGGGCAGCACAAACCTCTATGGGTGCAGTACTTTGGTTTGCTCCCTCAGAGTTCATTGCAGTCGTTTTGAATATGATGAACACCTTTGTGACCATGACAGGTGTGAGTTGGTTCCAACAGAGCTCTTCAGTTGAAAACATGTTGCCTCAAATCCATTAGATGTGGAAAAAGCTGCCTCCTAGGTTGCTTTTGTGCAACCTGTGGCCTTCCAAATGGTGTTGGACTTCAGCTACCATCATCCTTTCTTGTTAGCTGCACTGGCTAAGACTAGTAGGAGTTTGAGTTCATCCACCCACAGAAGGCCATACAGTGACCCCCCCCCCCCCCAAAATCTGGCTAAGGTGCTTAGGCCTTTCCCTTATAACAGACTGCTATTTAGCTGGCGTTGTTTGCTCTGATTAGCAGGAGTTCCCCAAGGTCTCAGGCAGTGCAGACATGATGCCAAGATGTCCTCCTTATGAACAAGGACTGTGCTCCCGTGTGGTCTAGCTGGTGAACAATCAGCTTCTTTTCTCAGTAGTCCTTCCTTTCTGCCTGCATTTTACCATTTCCCCGCTCTTGTTGGTAAATGACATGGGAAGCGGGGGAGGTCCACTGCAAAAAAAAAAGTCTTGATTTATGGATTTTGCAGAGAACTTTGTACAAGGATAACCCAATGTCAATGCAGACAGGAGTTATCTCTAATGAGAGAAAAGCAGCATCTGCTGCATTAATAAGTAGCAGCTAACTATCTCGTGCAGCGTTAATGCACTCTCCAACATCCATCTCAGGCCTAATGGGTTGTTCCAAGGCTTTCCAATTGCTCTAATGAAAGCCACAGGCTGAGTGATTCAGGAGCTCAGAACACAAAACACAACAAAAAAGCAGTGTTAGATTTTCCTAAGCTTCCCTAGAGGGTGTTTCAAATCCAATGTCAGAAATATGAAATATTCTATTCACTTCCATTATCCTTCCCCCCAAATACATTCCAAATCAGTTGTATTTGGGATCTGGGCTTCAGGAAAATGAAAAAGTCAAATGTACTGCAGAATGGATTGCTTGTGTCTGAAACAGCTGCAGTCAAGCATTTCTCTGACAGTGCTTCTCAAGCTTAAACTCATGTAAAGCTTTTGTGCGCTCTGCTCTTTATTAACACAATGCCTGAGTGCCTGCACCATCTAGTACTGCTTGTAGTGCAGATATGCATAGCCGGCATTGCAAAAGTCAGTGAGAATTAGACTTGGCAGGTGTGCATTAGTGTGAATGTGGCCTTAAATACTCTCCTACACACACACACACACACACGTACATGCACTCACTCACTCTCATTTTCTTTCTCATCGGAAGACATGATACATGTCTTCCAATCCACAGCTGAATGGTGGAATTCCAAAGCATGCAGGCTTTCAATCACCCATTGTACAAGTAGAGTCTCCTATTGTACAAGTAGCTCTGTTGACTGTGATAGTGTCAACAGAGATTGGCTATCACTTGTGTATACCTGGGATTAAAACCACATAAGCTTCCAGATATTGCTCAACTGCAGTACACACAATATTGACTAGGGGCCTTTCCAGACAGGCCCTATATCCCAGGGTCTGAGCCCAGGTTTTTGGTTGTTTTTAATCCCAGATTTTCTGGCAGCGCTGACTCATATATTCCAGTTTAAAGTAGAAAAGCTAGGATATAGGGCCTGTCTGGAAGGGCCCTAGGACTGATAAAAGTTCCAATCCAACAAGATTTGAAGACTCCCATACCTTCTCTGCCTAGGTGTATGAGTTGGACTCAACTGTGGTCCATGTGATCCAAGATCTTTAGAGTAGAAAAAACAAGGACATTCAGGCTGTGTTTTCAGCTATCTGGAGTAACTGATTAACAACAGCATTTCTCACTATCCCTGATCATATTTTTCATATTAGAGCAAAAGCTTTACTACTCCACAGTGATATTAGTTTGACTCTTCCAATGCCCTGAAACTATATTTTAGTCCTTCTCAAATGCATCAAAGTTCATTAGCTTCCTTTATATCATGCTTTTTGTTTGGAAAACTCCTAAGTAGTTTGTGTTAAGTGTTGGTATAGTAAACACACATGTGAGAGAAAGCTATCTGCATATTCTCCTGTCCTCATAAAAATGTTCTTATAAAGTGGCCAATGACTTGATGCCCTCCAAAAGTTTTTTTTACTATGAGTGCATCCTTACTGTAGAATTAATTCAGTTTGACACCACTTTAAGTGTCATGGCTCAATGCTAGCCTGTGTTGTTTTTTGTAGTTTGTGTCACTCTGTGACAGAGAAGGCTAAAGACCTTGTAAAATTATAACTGCTGTGAGTTCCTAGCATTCAGTCATAGCAGTCAACTTAGTGTCAAACTACATTAATTCTATAGTGTAGATACACCTTCAAGTTGCCATCAGCCACAGCCAACCTACGTTATGGTCAATGGCTGAGAGAACTATAGACCAAAATATCTATACCACATTGGTTTGTCTATATCTGGTTTAATTCATACACATGCGGTAGATTAAACATAGAGTTTACCCAACATATTTTTATTAACACACACCCAACATTCTTTACTCCAATATGTATTTTATTTTTAATGTATATCTGCCCTTTTCCTGGGAAGCCAACCCAAGTCAGCTTCCAATCATAATAAATTAAAAACCTTTACAGAAAAATTGAACAGCTGTAAGGTGAAGGACACATCTACCTCTACAAGACCATGTTAGTATTTCATGTCAACTCTGATAAGAAATTAAATATTAAAATATTAAGAATAATAAATCTTTTAAAGTAGACATAAGAGATAGTGAATGGAGAAATGCTTCTTCTGTTAGTCCTTTGTAACTTTTGCTCTTTCCCTTTCCTGTCATGCTTGGCTGCCTCTCCTCCTAACTCTTTGTGTCTCTCCTCTCTTTTGTGTCCCCTCTGTCCCTCTTCTCCTCTTGGTCCTGGCAGGTTCGGTTGCAGCTCTGGGACACAGCAGGCCAGGAGAGATTCCGAAGCTTGATCCCCAGTTACATTCGAGACTCCACAGTAGCTGTGGTGGTCTATGACATTACAAGTGAGTTAAGTCTGGGTGTGGATATCCATACACTGTAACTGCCCTTTGGAGCTTGGTAACATTCTCTCCCCGTTGTGACCTTCTGTGATATATCAAGCTCCGATTGTGGCTCATGTGTATCAGAAGTATGTAAAGGTTTGGCTTAGAGAGACTCAACACTCTATGCTTACACCAAGATGTCTCGTTCCTCCAAGATTTAGCCCCTACTCTTGTTGCATTTCTCAGCCAGAAAAGTCCTGTACAATCTACTGCTGAAATGTTCAGTCACCACTTAGATGAGTTCTGTGCATTCAGTTGATTTACACTGGTACAATGGATCTGCACTGTAGAATTAATGTAGACTGACACCAGTTTAACTGCTGCAGCTCATTGCTATGGAATCCTTGGATTTGTAGGTGATTGTTGAAGAAGCAGCACTCCTTGCCAAGATAAAGCTAAAGGGCTTGTAAAACTACAGCTTCCAGGATTCCATAGCATTTAGCCATGGCAATTAAAGTGTTGTCAAACTGTTTTAATTCTACAATGTAGATGCACCCTACGACTCGGATTTGGGCCTTGTTGTTTCTCATGCAAGTACAATTGGCCCTCCATATCCATGGATTATTTTGCATCCACAGATACAGCCATCCAGACTTGAAAATATCCCCTTTCCCCCCAAATAAAAACTTCCAAAAGGAAAAATTTGAGCATCCAAAGATTGTTGCATCTACGGGATATTCTGGAACCAACCCCCAGCGAATACCTTGAGTCCACTGTAATGACCAAGTGAAATATTCATTGTTCCTGGCACTGTTGTTAACCATATGCTAAGTGGCTGGTGTGCTCAAATTGTAGTAATTTCTTTCATTAATATTTTATGCAGGTGACAATGGCTAATTTTATGGCACCCAGTTGTGAAGTTAAAGTGCTAGATTTCATTTCTAGGAAGTCCAATTAGTCCTGTTAGTAAGGGACTTCCTTTACTAATTAACTCAGTGGGTTTTAGAACAAGGTCAACCCAGTCCAGATTCTAAGCTGGAAACTTGTGTGGGGGATGCTTCTTTATTGGGTGTATAATAAACCATGTTACAAAGCAGGCATTTCATGAAAAGTCTGAATTTAGCAATACAATGACAAGCCTAATTATATATGTTAATATTTTTAAAGCTTTGCCCAATACCTTATATCACAGAAATAGTTACAAATGCACAATGTCTCCTGATCCAACCCCACACACCTACTTTAACAGCCAGCAGCCACACAGAGGAATGAAGATCTATGGCCAATGGGGCATGGCAAAATTATATCTTCAGCCTTGTCCCACTAGCTGTCTGTATGCAATAATGAGTTGTGTTGGGGTCCTGCTTCTGGTTATTAGAGCAGATTCTTTGTGGGAGGGGCTGGAAATGTCATCTTGCTTCCTTCCAGTTACTAACAGAACAGACCTCCATCACTTGTTGCCACTGCTGGCTGTTAAGGTAGGTTGCAATTACGGAAATAATGCCATGCTCATAAACTTGAATACTGAACCGTTATGAATGTGTGAATCTAGCTTATGCACCTGCTCAACAGAATACCAGCCTACATAGTTGAATAAAAGTTACTTTAAAAATAACACATTTGCTTACACTCCTTTCATTGTTGACATTTTTGTGCTGGATTGTTGTAGTTTCACTCATCTCCTGTTCTTTGTAATACCTGTATTTCTGCCATATATCTATTGCCTAGTGTGGACTTTGAACTCCGTCAAAACAACATTGTGCCCAGAACTCTGAAAAGTTACTTTTTTGACTGGAGCTTGCAGTATGTGATCACAATGCTTTGTGAGCTATATTCCAAAATAGTTATATTCCAAAATAGTAACTTTTCAATGCTATCTGTTCTCTTAGTTTCATTTTGTGATATACACTTATTTTACTTGCTCATTATATTTTCCTTATATTTCCAGAGAGACTGAAGTATAGTATGTGGTCCTCACTTCCCTTTTCCTTTTTGTGAACACACTGAAAAGTAGCTCAGGTTGAGAGATAACGACTGGCTTTCTCTGAAGCATCTAGTCCAGTGGTTCTCAACCTGGGTTCCCCAGATATTTCTGGCCTACAACTCCCAGAAATTCCAGCTAGTTTACCAGCTGTTAGGATTTCTGGGAGTTGAAGGCTAAAAACATCTGGGGACCCCAGGTTGAGAACCACTGATCTAGTCCCAAGCCAATGCACATCTGTGTAATGTAATAGTAGCTTGTTACATCAGTGATCTTTGCCTTATGTAGATATGGAAAAATAGACATATTATGATTGCCCAAAAGTGCGATTGGTCATGTGTTTGGGCATTCTACATGTAAAATCTGGGATCAGTTACATTGCTTTTATGTACTCTCTGAAGGGTAGTTTCTGAGCAAAAGATGTTGAATTTTTAGATATGCATAATATTTCAGTACAAATACCCATGACATAAAGAGTAGTCTAATGGCTCTGGAGGTGAGGGTTCAATTCCCACTCGGCCATGGATACCCACTGAGTGAAGCCAAGGGCAAGCCACATACTCCTACCCTCAAAAATACCTGTGATAGGGTTGTCATGTCAGAAACAACAAGAGCCACCATGTATTGTAGAATTTTCTTAGTGATGACACTCCAATTATGGAACTCTCTTCCACTAAAGATCTTGTTTTCATCCATCACTTATATCTTTTCCAGGCAAATGAGAACCTTTCACTGAGAGCCTTCATCATCTGATGTTATGATACTTGCTCAGTTGTAGTTATTTCTGATGGTGTCACTCTCTCCAAACCTACCTTTTAAGCCAGGCAACACCTCAACAGAAGAGTTTTGGAGATGGTACAGATCGGGTGCTGGGAAGTGATGTCTTCTATGCCCTCCCAATCACAGGGTGCATTGAAGATAAACAGCAGAAGAGAACCTTCAAGGTTTGCTGCAACTGTCTTTCTCAATATGACATCTGACCAAGAACGTGCTGCCGATATCATTTCCCAGCACCATGATCTGCAGCACCTCAGAAACATTTCAAGAATGCTGTCAGGCTGAAAAGGTATGCTTTGAGGATTATGTTCGGTCATAAAGAACTAGAAACATGAATCCCCAGAGGTTACGAGGTCATAATGAATAGGACACCAGCCATTGTAACAAAATGTTTGATCTCCCTCTTACTTCTGTTAGTTTGTATTTTTTTTTGTATTTTGATAAATATTTGTAATTTATTGTATGTATTTGTTATTACAAATATCACTCTTCCAGACCAATAGTACATTGATGCAGATGAGTTGCCAGCACATTAGGAATTTTCAAGATATGTGACTCCCTCCAGGTGTTTTGGACTTCAACTCCCAAACACCTATGGCTGTTAGGAATTGTGGGAGTTGAAGTCTAAAACACCTGGAGGGAGGGCCAAAGTTTGCCCAGGCCTGGGCCAACCCCACACGTTCTTATAATCACTTAGAAATAAATGCCTAGAGACACCAAGTAAAATATTTCAGACTTCATTGACTTTTTGAGTTAATATTTGACTTAAGCACCATGAACTTTTCTGTAGCCATCTTTTGCTATTTGCTGTCTCTTGCTATGTTCCTTATAGCAATTAATGCCAAAGGAAATAAAGAATTGCAAAAATGGTCTGCCTCTCTCTCATGGTCCTTTGCAAGCTGAGCCAGCTAAAACGGCAACAGGAAGAAGGGTCAAGACTAGGCAGCTGAAGGATTCTGAGCAGAGTGGCTCATTAAAAAGTTCTCTTTAAATGGATTGCTTTGGCAAATCCGTGCCCTGCGTTCCAGTTGCCATAGCTGCACTAATTGGTGGCACATTCTCCTAGCAAACGAGTGGGTAGGAAAAAGCTATGTAATTCCTCCTGATAAATAACATTGAAACACTTTTAGTGACCACACATTTAATTCAAGCAACATTTTCAGTTGAAATTCTTACCAGTGAATTATTTTAAGAATGAAAGTTCCAATGTTGCACCAATTCCCCTTATCAATTATTATCCTCAAGGACTTCTATTTGCATTTGAAATATATGCACATTATTTGCAAAAATGTATCTGTGAGCAAAGCCTTTCCACTCATTTGACCTTCAGTTTGCACTGAAAATGTAGTTTGAGCTCCCATCCTCATTCTTTCTTTCTTCCCTTTCCTCTCCATTTCTATCTTTGTTGACTTTCTAGAGATAACATGCCCTTGCCTACTTTTACTTAGATTGGTTCCTCTTCTCACGGCCCTCTCAAAGCAGCCAAAGGCTATTGTCCTAACACTTCCTTCTTCAGTTCACTTAGATTCCCTCCTCAGTCTGTCTTGACTCTAGCTAAGGCACATGCAACTGGGCTGATGGAAATGCATTTCCCTCACCCTTCTTCCCATGGTTACCACCTAAAAATCCTATATGCGAATTTAGAGACCTTGATGATCAGGGAGTGTGAGGACACCTTAAGGAGGAACTTGGTGAAAAGGAGCTTATTTGTCAGGGACCCTGTTAACTGAGGTACAACTGTATTCTACTGACTCCTTTGAGCTTTCTCTTCAGCTAGTCCTTCTCCAACTCCAACTCTCCACTTCTCCAGTTGTTTCTCTGTTTTCCACTTTCTGCAGCAAGGATCATCTTTTAAACTTGCATTTTGCTGTCCATTTCTTTAATCCCTTGCCATTTCACATAATTCATGCTTCAAAGCCCTTGGAGGCAAGTGTTGCATTATATTATATCTAATTAAGTATCTAATGGCCATGTGAAATGACGGGAGATTCTCAAAGCTTTGACTCCTCTGTGTTCTTGTGTTCCAAAAGTCTCCCTTCTGTTGTCTTCCTAATGTGGGTGATGCTCCCTGGAGATGATGGGAATTGAAGGCAACACATCTAGAAGCTTCCAGGTTGCAGAAGGCTATTACCAGTTTACCAGCTGTTAGGATTTCTGAGAGTTGAAGGCCAAAACACCTGGGGATCCACAAGTTGAGAACCACTGCCTTAAGGGATGTCAACCTTTTTTTCAGTCTTGTTCAAAAACTTGATCATGTGTCTACCCTGCTATATTTTATTATTCAAGTGTAACTGTAAAATACACAAGTGTATAAATTGATTGAATTGCTCAGATAAGAGATATCTGGAAAATTCCCTTTGTCTATTGCCCAGCTTTCCTGTTTTCCTTCTCTTATACAGATCTGAACTCCTTCCAGCAAACATCCAAATGGATTGATGATGTCAGAACAGAAAGAGGAAGTGATGTCATCATTATGTTAGTGGGCAATAAAACAGATCTTGCAGATAAGAGGTAAATACATATAAAGAGAGGGAAGTGGTAAATGTCTTTTTGAGATTATGATAGTCAGAATTCTTATCTCCACATGTAACTTGCAAGAGGGGCAATAAGTCAGGACAGAAAAAAATGAATAGATTGCCTAGAATAGAACAATTCTGGTCTGATTGACCATCAAGGAGTCACTTCATCGGTAGCTACGTTTGAGGGCATTACTTTTTCCTCTACTTTTCTGCTTTCCTCCATTTTCTGTATATTTTAATAAACCTCTATTTTCCACTTTTCCCCAGTTTTGTTTAATATACTTATTGTTGTCTCTTCTTTGCCTGTCTGATTCTAGGCAAATAACAATTGAAGAAGGAGAACAGAGAGCTAAAGAGCTGAATGTCATGTTTATTGAGACAAGTGCAAAAACAGGATACAATGTGAAACAGGTAAGAAACCTTTATTTCTAAATATCAGTACTTGGGGTCCCTGTGGATTTGTTTGATCTAGTTTATCTGCTACAGCCCTCTCCTACAAGACACACGGCATCTGTTTTTCCCTGCATGTAAATTTAAAAAAAATGTTGTGGTTTTGTCTGCATATAAGTAAGATACACAATGGTCAAATGAAACACTGCATGGGTTATTTATTTATTTATCATATCAGAAGTTAATTGAGAATAGAGTTATGCTGAATGTGTGTGTGTGTACCTCCACAAACAAATTGTCCTAAATTTCCATTGACCAGAAGCTGGCCACTTGGAGTGCCTCTAGTGTCACTGTAATAAGGTCCTCCATTATGCATGTGGCAGGGCTCAAACTGCATTGTAGTATATGGTCTGTGGCTTACTCTTCTCCACACTCGCATGTTGTGGATTCCACTTTGTAGCTCCATTCTTTAAGATTGGCTCTGCATCTCGTGGTGTCAGAGTGCATGCAGTCTGTTCAGTTCCTTCCAAATCACCCAATCCTCTGGGGGGGGGGGGGGGTTCATCTGGTAGCAGCCACTGATCGAGGTTCCAGTTTTAACCTGCCATCTTTGGACTCTCGCTTGTTGAGATGTTCCTGTTAGTAGTTCTGTAGATATTAGGAAGTTATTTCTTGATTTAAGGGGTTGGCTTGCTGGCTGATACCCAAACAGGGGATAGGCTGGAGATGTCAATGCCTTGGTGATTCATTACTGGCTGCTACTTCCCGACGGATGTCAGGTGGTGAATTACCAACTAAACAGTATAATTTCTCCAGTGGTGTAGGGTGTAGACATCTTGTGATAATGTGGCATGTCTAATTAAAAACCATGTCCACTGTTTTAACATGGTCTGTATGGGTTGACTAGATTGCTCAATTTAGTGAGAACGTTGATACAGCAAGTCATCCTAAGTGGCCACTGAACACTCAAAACAGAAATTTCCATTCATCATCTGATAGTTTCATCTTTCCTTTAATGTGCATTTGTTTCTCCTTATTTGTGCCAGTTGCAATTATAGTTATTTGTATCTCACGTTTTGCAACTTGGAAACTGAAATGTATGCCTTACGCAACTGTTGAATACTAGGAAAGTTCTAATGTTGTTCTTTGCTGATGTATAAACAGAAGAAAGTTTGGGGCTCCTTCTGTGTTCTTAATGATACATGCTGCTTAATTTTGTTAATTTTGTTTCAAAATGGCATTTTGGATACAACTATAAAAATCCTAATCACACACAAAAAATTATTTCTCTTGGTCTACTTGTGTCATCTTTCTCCACTTTGCTGCAGCTCTTCCGACGTGTTGCCTCAGCTCTGCCAGGAATGGAGAGTGTGCAAGAGAAGAGCAAAGAAGGGAGTATCCTTTGGGAAATAATGAAGGGAACTTTTGAATTAGAACCATTTGGAATCGGAAGATAAATAAAGCTTGTTTTCTTAAGATGGGATTGGAAGTAGGGGTGGACAATTTTCTGTTTTTCCCAAATTTAGGTTCAGACCATTTTGAACATTCAGGATCTTTTAAAAATAAAATAAAATAATGTGTGCATTTTGGCATGTAATTTTTCTAATAATTTATATTTTAGCATGCACTTTCATCAATATTAGCCCATTTTGCAGATCCAGTATAGAGTGATATTAAAAGTTGAGGCATATCGATAGCATATTCATAGAGTTGTGGTAGTGGAATAGAATATAATAGGATAGAATACAAAAGAAAGATGTAAATCATGACCCTCACTCTAAATTTTCAAAGAGCTGTGTGAAACGATACAGGTCTTCTAGATCTTCAGTTCAGTAGAATTGAGAAGCTGTATTGAGAAAGTGCAGAAACATTATAGGAGTTTTATTATCCTTCTGTTAAATAGGGCTGATACACCAAACTACTAATCCATGGATTCCATCGCATTGAGTTAATGTGGTGTCAAACTGCACTAATTTGTCAGTGTAGATGCACCTTATGATTCAGGAGACCTGGGTTTGAATCTCTACTCAACAGTGAAACCCACTGAGTGACCTTGGGCATGTCCGGCTCTTTCAATCTCTGAGGAAGGCAAAGTCAGCCCTCTTTTGTACATAATCATGCTAAGAAAGACCCACAATAGGTTCACCTTAGGGTCACCATAAGTCTAAATGACTAGAAGGCACAACAATAAAAGCACCATGTGGCAATAGCTCTGTACTGTTGTCAAATGTTTACGGAATTGTGCTGCCCCAGAAAAAAAATCTTAATCACTGATGCATAGCAAATGCATCAGACAGATTTGTTTGTGAAAGGATGGATTTATGAGAGCCATGTGCCGCCGTTAATGGACTGTGTGTCTCGGTGTCTTCTCAGCCTTGCATTGCAAGAAAGTCCAGGGCAAATGTAAACACCCAGCAGCCATTCCCTTCCTGATGGGAGTTCTGCAGAGACACAAAAGTGCTCTTGTTAAACTGAAACCCCTTTTCCCATTATGGAGTGAACACACAAAAGAAAAACATCGCCATAGAGCAGTACTAATGAATATGGGCCAATTAAGTCTTATTTATTACAGAGAAAGTCATGGTTTCTAAATTAAACACAGCAGTAATGATTTCCCTCTGTCGCTGGTGTTGGCAGGAAAAAGAGAATAATGGCTACATGGGGAATGTTTGCCAAAGAATGACAGATTATAGCATGCTGCCTGACATTCCCTTGCTTCGGTTAGGCAGAAGGGCCATATGAATGCCCCTTCTGCCCTGAATTGCTGTTTCTTGCTGGCAAGAGGGTGATTTAATTGGGGGTTTCAATATGCCAAGTGGTTTATGAAGCAAAGGCTATGTGGGATTACAAGAGTATCAAAATTCAATAGTTTGGTTCTGAGTAAGAACAGTTCTTTAAAGGTAAAGGTTGCCCTGACAACAAGTCTAGTTGTGTTTGGCTCTGGGGGTGGTGGTGCACATCTCCATTTTTGAGCCAAAGAGCTGGCATTATCTGTAGACACCTCCAAGGTTATGTGGCCAGCATGACTGCATGGAGCACCGTTACCTTCCCACAGAAGCAGTACCTATTAATCTACTCACATTTGCATGTTTTCAAAGTGCTAGGTTGGCAGAAGCTGGGGCTAACAGCATATGCTCACCCCACTCCCCGAATTTGAACCATCAACCTTTCGATCAGCAGTTTAACCCACTGACATTAATATGAAATAATATCTACAGTTTTAATACCCCAATACCCCAATATTTTCGGTTAGCATTATTGTTGAATTTTAAAAGGTCAATATTCTTCCTATTTTTCTCTCAAACAAGATAAACTTTTAAAAACTATTCAAATGTTACAAAATGCTAGTCTGAGGTACATGACATTGTCTTCTCATACAGCCCAAAACGTAAGAAATAATTATATTACAAGCAAAAATGTCAACCAAAAATAGTCCTCCAATGTTTAATGAGACAATAGAGATCAAATCCTAAACTGGAAAAGGAAGTAACAAGTCAGTTACATTGCAAAAGAACAGCTATCCCTTTTGAAGTTATTTTAATAACTAGAAAAAACAAATTAATTACAAATGATTGGGTATTGAGTTACTTTTCTCCCAAGTTCCAGTGTACTTTAGTGCCTGTGTTAGCAAATATAAACAATGTGCATGATAAGCACAGTCATTCACTACCACAGCACATTTCTCCACAGCAGGGAAGTTAAGCTAAAGTCTCTGTGTTTCTTTTATTCTTGATCAATCACACACACACAGGCATGGGGCTATTTTCTCCAGGTTTCAACTTCCCCTCTAAGGTAACTTCCTTTTTAAAAGATAAAGGTTTCCCCTTGACATGAAGTCTAGTTGTATCCAACTCTGCGAGTGGTGCTCATCTCCATTTCTTAGCCAAAGAGCCGGCATTGTCCATAGACACCTCCAAGGTCATGTGGCCAGCATGACTCTATGGCGCGCTCTTACCTTCCCACCAAAGTAGTTCCTATTTATCTACTCACATTTGCATTCTTTTGAACTGCCAGGTTGGCAGAAGCTGGGGCTAACAGAGGAAGCTCACCCCGCTTCCGGATTTGAACCACCGACCTTTTGGTCAGCAAGTTCAGAAGCTCAGCGGTTTAACCCACTGTGCCACCAGGGGCTAACACTTTTATATAGTATTTATTTTACCAGACTTTTGTTTACCAAACAGAAAACAAACAATACTTATTAGTTACATTCTTTTTTTGTTAGAAGACATAAGAATTGGGATTTAAAAATAACAATACTGTAGAAGCCGAACACCAGAATTAGGAAAAGTCTGAACTGGCCATTAACTTAGTTCACTTATCTCCATCCCCGTGTATAAGAGCCTTTTGATCCGATGGTACAGAGATATATAAATAAGTTAATTCATAAACATTCCACAATCTTGATTTCCACTTTATTTTCCCGCCTGTCTCACATCCTTTGTTCTTAGGTATTATAACAAGACATATCAGAATGGAGAATTATTTGCAGAAGTCTAGAAACAGTCCTCGAGTGTTAGATTTTTTTCTCTTGTGAGGAGGAAGTTCAGCTTTGTATATCTAAATGTTTTTCTGTTAAACCCTACATAGCAGGGAGGAATCCATTCAGCCCAGCTGCTTCTATGAATTTTTTTTTCCCCGCATAGTTAAGGAGATTTGAAGGATTTGAGCTCTAGGAAAACATTCCAACATATGACTGCAAGAACATCATCCATAGCCCAAAAGATACAGACCAGGAAAAAGCTTTTACTTTTCTCCCTTTGCTAATTGTATGCACTGCTCCTCTCTCATTCTCAGAGAAGTGAAGACGAAGCGGCACAACTGCTGAGCTTGCCTTTTATTTCTCCCTCATTGCCCCATAGGCGACAGGCAACAGCAGAAGAAGCAAGTGCCTGTCTGGGGGGCGGAATGACATGGCGCCTGAGAGCCATTGTGGCGGAAGGGAGAGGGTCCCTAGATGTTGACTGACAACAGCTCTTCCAGTCTAATTGCTGGCTTTTATGTTGGGAAAGGTCAGCTCCCTTGGGGACTTGGACTACGTCTGATATATATCACATATGTCAGCACCACATGCGGAGAGCACAGCTTGGGCTTTGCACTTGCAGTTCACAGTGGGAGGGACCAGCCTGTGACTGGTTAAGGAAGATGGAGGAGTGATGTCATGCGTTTGAGCCCTTAGGGCTGACGTCTCTGCTCCAGGAGGCAAACAAATCCAACCTGGGTCTTTGTTTGCCTGGCAGGTGACACATTTCCGGTTGACACCCCCAGTCAACCAGATCCATTGGCTGGTTTGGATACTTTAAAGTGAGTGTCTGCCAAGTTTTGTTGACCATTTCAGTGAAGCCTTTTGTCCTGGAGTTGTCATCCAAATAGTAACATTTCCAGGCTCTGATTTTGCCTGACAAAAGGTGGGAAAGACAGATATGCAAGGAGGTATGGGTTGATAGATGTTCAATTTAGTGTTCAGCATGATGATGATGATTATAATAATCTTTATTTAATACTCCACCAGTTAATTAAACCCCTCATATGAGAGCTAATAACATGCTAGTATCAAATCAGATACACAGTGGATGAAGATATGCTTTCCAGATACTAGGTTAGCTTGGAAGAATGCTTTTGGAAAGGGGACATGGCATCTCTATCATTCTCCCGAATTCATCTGTCATTCACGCTTTATAAATATTACTAATATTTTATAAATAACTTGTCAAAAGTACTTTTATGAGTGCATCCACATTGTAGAATTAATGCAGTTTGACACCACTTTAACTGCCATGACTCAAGGCTATGCAATCATGGGAGTTGCACTTTGGTGTGGCACCCGCAGTCTTTGGCAGAGAAAGCTACAGAGCTTGTAAAGCTTCAACTCCCATAGCCTTGAACTATGGCAGTTAAAGTGGTATCGTACTGCATTGATTCTAGAGTGTATAGATGCACTCTGTGATATGTTTAAGAGGCCTGTCCTCTTGCCCGTAACTTCAACAGGAAGTTAGTTGTGTCTGGTACGATTAACTTCCTGCTCTTGGTAAGGAAATCTTGTTGACATTTTGCTTGCTCATAGAAATCAGAAACAATCTATATAAATAAAAATGCAATGTTTGTTTGTGGGATTAACGTAATTCAAAAACCACTGGATCAATTGATACGAAATCTGAACACTACACCCCTAACAGACCAACGAGCAACCATCACTCATAAACTCATCCAAAAAAAAAGCGGAAAGGACTTAAAAACCCCAAAAAGCTAAATTACGATGCAACGCATGTGCAAAAACAACAGCTCCCAGCATCCCCTAGACCAGGCTCTTTAGGGGAGGAGGATACTCCAAATGCACTGCTTCCAAGCTGCAAGCTTGCTTCTTCTTGGATTTCTTTGAGAGCATCCCAATCCCTGCATGTTTCCTTTTTCTGGACTGCAACTCCCAGCAATCCTTGCAATAGATTATATATATATATGAATGAGATATAGATATTAGGTAGTTAGATCAATCAGGAGGACTGCTGGGAGTTACAGTCCAAGAATAGGTAGAGAAGGAAGGAAGGAAAGAAAGAAAAGGGAAAGGGAAAGGGGGAAGGAAGGAAAAAGGTAGAGAAGGAAGGAAGGAAGGAAGGAAGGAAGGAAGGAAGGAAGGAAGGAAGGAAGGAAGGAAGGAAGGAAGGAAGGAAGGAGGAAAAAGGAAAGGGAAAGAAAAAAGGGAATGAAGGAAAGAGGTAAGAAGGAAGGGAAGGGAAGGAAAGAAAAAGAAGGAAGGAGGGAAGGAGAGAAAGGAGGAGAGAAAGAGGGAGGGACGGTTGGCCACAGCAACGTGTGGCGGGCCGGGTACAGCTAGTGTCTTTAAACCCTGTGTGTCGTCCTTTGTTAAACATTTCAAAACTATTTAATATTGATTGTAATTGTTAGATCTCAACATTATATTTAAGTAATTAATGTTTGTTGATTTGATTTCCCATTGGCCATTTTTAATTTTTAAAAAGTAATAATTTTACAAATGTATTAAGCTTTGTTCCCCCAAAAAGATGCATGGCCACATAAGGAGGAACCTCACCCGTTGGTTATCAGCCTTAACTCTTTCTTTCCTTCAGTGATTGACATCAAACTGGACAAACCACAGGAACCACCAGCCAGTGAAGGAGGCTGTTCTTGTTAATGCTAAGCGCAGGATTCGTCAGCTCCATTTGACACCACACGCTTGTTGTGTTGCTTCCTATTGGTTAGCTTTCTAATACAAATTGAGTTCTTGGATGGGGAGGATTTCTTTTCTCTCTAGGGAGGGGGTGGGTGGCAAGGATCAGAATACTTGATTCAACAGCCAATACTATTTTCTTTTTTGGTTTAGTTGTAATATATTGTACTTTATTAAAAATGCCAAAACAATTCAGAATTTTAAACAAGACACTTTAATTGTGTGTGTATACAATTTTCAGCCGTGGGGATGTATATCCTTTTTTGGGTACCTTTTTTTTAATTGTATATTTGTAAACTTACAGAGAAATCCCCAAGATTATACAGGCTGGTTAGTTTCAGTGTTTGGCATAAATTGTAGACATATCTTTTAGTGAAATAGTCCCCGATTAGTTCCACCTAGCACTAACTATCCCATTCACACTCCAAATACAGGCTAACAAAGCATGCTGCAACTACCAGTGTGCCATACAAGATCTCTGACTATAGAGCCATGGAAGAGAGAGTTACAACAACGAGTAAACCTTTGATCATGATATTGAGAGTATACATCCATAGTTCCCAAACAGTTTCATTCAAGGGGCCACAGAGCATGCATAGCTTAATATCATGTTTTATACTATATTTTACTATAATAGGAGCCCCTGCTGGTGCAATGGGTTAAACCCTTGTGCTGGCAGGACTGAAGACCAACACATTGGAGGCTCGAATCCAGGGAGAGCACGGCTGAGCTCCCTCTATCAGTTCCAACTCCCCATGTGGGGACATGAGAGAAGCCTTCCACAAGGATTGTAAAGCATCAAAACATCCAGGTATCCCCTGAGCAACATCCTTGCAGACAGCCAATTCATTCACACCAGAAGCAACTTGCAGTTTCTCAAGTCACTCCTGACACGGATAAAAACCCCACTGTAATAGGAGATATTTTAAAACATTTCTGCAGTTAATAATTGTTTTAAGGCTTTCACATGTTACAGATAAGATATATCCACAATGTCAGTTATATTGTTGATGCTACTATTACAGAATCCTGGAATTTGTAGTTGGGAATCCTCTAAACTGCAACACAAAACCTGTCTAGGAATAAATTCCAAGTATTTTGCCAAACCACAAATTCAAGGATTGTATAGAATGGAATTAACATTATGCAAATTGCTATAACTGCATAGTGTGGATACACTCAAGGTCTCTGAACTTTTGAAAAATCCCAGATGCTAGCATAAATCACCATACGTATGTACTGCAGTGTATATGTATAATCAGTATCATTTTGGTCATTTGGCTTTCATGATTGGCCCAATGATATTCTGGAAGAACTCTTGATTCTTTTCAGATTTCTTCACAATCAGTTATAGCTGCCATGTTGTATCTAAAAATTGGATTGAGGCAAACACTAGAAGTATTTTGTCCCAAAATGCTATCTAAAGGCTCTCTCTCTCTCCAGGCATATTGTTAGAAATAGATTTCTTCAAGGAGGCAACTCAAAATGGTGGTTACAATTCAAACAGAACTGTCAATTACTATAACTTCAAAAATGTACCCAGTGGGACCATCTCACTTTTAGCCAACTGTACTGTTCATGGTGGTTGATCATTATTATGAGTGATAGTAACTTCTGCATGAGTGAACAAAGAGCAAAAGAGAGGAAGGGGCCCTGTCTCCTTAGAAAAAGAAGATTGCCTTGGCAACAAAGAAGCGATAGGTAATGTATTTAATTTTTGTATACATGTGTATGCATGTTTTCTAATGACATAAAACATACATTAACTCACACAGCTATGTGGAGGTGTATGTATACACACCCATGCACAATATAGATGCTTGGTTTCTCCTAGTGTTATGACTTGAAAGTGCAGCCAGCAACCGTTGTGGGAAATTACCGTTGCTGCTATGTGTGGGTCTTAAAAGGGTTTCTTTTGTTATTGTTGGGGAACAGTGTGATTTGTTATGTCTTCAATAAATTAAACTCAGATACATGTGAAATGAGAAAAAATACATGGAAAAATATCTCCAGGTGTTGTCAATCTGTGTGATGGCGCATGTAGTCACATTCTGGAAAAAATGGCCGCAAAGAGATCTCATGTCCCCTCAGAGTGATCCATGTTAAATGCCAGAGTGATCACCACTATATGATAGTGGAATAAATATGGCAAGTGCATTATTTTCTACATTATGGATTCATTCTACTTGTATGATGTTCTGTATGACCAAAAGCAAACTCTCAAACACATACCAGCACATAATTAGGAGGCTTGTTTTATTCATTGGTAGAGTCCTAGAAGCCCTCATATCATCATGGTTTAGTTCCCCCAATTATAGCCTGCAGATGGAAGCAACAGTCAGCTGCCTAGTTTTCCTGTCTGCTGAAATCAATTCACCTTTGACTTGCCAGCTTCCCTACTGTGTTTTTTCTTACCCATCACACCATCTTTGAAGACTCTCCATGACCTTCATTTTCCTTATGCTTCATTCACCAAAAGATCAGCTACTTGCACTTCTTGTTTCCCATTTTCTCTGTGTTGCAGAGAGAGAATTGGATGCTAAGAAATGAAACTCGTTGGGACTTTGCATGTTTTACCATTAAATCATATGTAATGTCCATACGGCAATTATAGCCCTGTCAAAAGGCCCTCGTAACAACATGGAAGTTCCCTGAGGCAGATTTGATTTGAAAGATCGCTTGTGTATCAGGATTTTCTTCTCCAATGTATTTCATGAGAACATAACATTTTGAAAATTGGTAAAATCAGGTAGACTGAGAATATGTTGGAGAAAATCAATATTAAACAAGTCAAGCTTTTGAAGGTAAGTGAGATGATCATCTTGCATTTGGTAACTGAAAAAGCTTACAGTTTGTGATTGACTATAGGAAACCACAAAAATTCTAACCTAGTAAAGTTCAAATGTCAGATTAAATTATCACACAATTGAGTATTGCTACCAAACTGGGGAAAAAACTGCTCTTGAAGTGGGGCTTTTTCCTTAAAGATTACTACACAAGTAAATAACAATGAGAAAAACAGACAAAACTGCATCCACAATGCTTTGCCACTAAGAAAGCAAAATGAAAAGCACTGGAGTATGACTCTGGAGACGTGGGTTTGAATCCCACCAGCCATAGAAACCCAATAGTTGACCATAGGCAAGTCACATACTCTCATCCTTGAAGAGAGGCAAAGGCAAATCTCCCCCTGAAATGCAATCTTAAATCAGTAATTGCTGCTGCTTTCTTTTCCGGATCATCACAGTAATGTAGATGGCAATAAATTTCTATTAAAAAGAGCTGCAAAAATGGACTGTGGGCCAGGACTGTGGCGCAGCTGGCTGAGTGTCAGCTGCATTAAGACCACTTCTGACCGAAAGGTCATGAGTTCAAAGCCAGCCTGGGTCAGAGTGAGCTTCCGACCAATTGTGTAGCTTGTTGTCGATCTTTGCAACCCAAAAGACAGTTGCATCTGTCAAGTAGGAAAATTAGGTACCCACCTATGTGTGGGGAGGCTAATTTAACTAATTTAGGAGGCCATTAAAAAGACTCCAGCAAAGCATGCGGGGAATGCAAAAGTACTTCATCAGTGTCGCAGATGGACGATGAAAGCGACAGCTCTCCTGGCGGCCAGAAAAGTTAAATAGCCTCTGACTGTCTGTCTATATGTGTTGAGTGTCTTTGGCATTGAATGTTTGCCATATATGTGTAATCCACCCTAAGTCCCCTGCGGGGTGAGAAGAGCGGAATATAAATACTGTAAATGAAATGAAATTTCCAACATGACATACTTGTGTGACATTTCTCTTTGGGAGCTTCCTTGGTCTGGACCATGTTTTACTATTGGCATAGTCAAAGAATAGATTCCCCACCACAACGTTTCCTTTGCCTCATTTATAGCTTTTCTTGTTTGTGGCATCACATGTACAAGATTAATGATACCCAATAGTCAAATGATCAAAGTCTCTCATCTTGGCTAGTTGCAATCACGCAACATAGTATTTAAACACTTGTCACTTGCAACATTACAATTAGGCAGTAATCATTGAAAAGACAATGCCATGAATAGTTCCACATGCCCACCTCCTTAACCAACCAAAATCCAATCTGTGCAAGTGTTTGCTTATGTTAGTACGATGATGTCACTGCTGATTACTATTTGGATTAAGGCTACAGTTATGCCCTGTTCAATCTACATTTAAAAGATTTATCTATGTTCTAGGGTTGTGCTAGCTCAACTTGACTCTTGATCAACATGCCTGTTGATTTCACCATTACCAGATCAAACTATTATAACAATAACAACTTTATTCTTATATCCCACCATCTCCCCGAAGGAGATGTGCACATATAAAAACATCAACCCAGACTCAATTAAGCTGCGACTGAGTCTCTACATGGTTCCAGCATAATTTATTCAGAGAGTTTATTCAGAAATCCATCTCCCTGGTGAGGAAAACACACTTTTTGTGCATTCTCAGAAAGAACATAGCAAAAATAAAAATCAGTACAGTATCAGTATCAGTACTCTGAGACCATTAATTAATAAGAAAATATGTTGGAAGGGGAGTAACGGGAGTTTTGGGAGTAACTTTCCTAATGCCTACTGTAACATCACAGTAAATCCTCCCTTTCCAGGTTATGCTATAAATTGCATCAAATCTGGAAAGGTGATAAGGGATCAACTAGTTAAGTTTCTGGAATGTCATTTCTTTCAGGGTAATACTCCGGAATCTTTGTAACATGATATAATTGTTTACCATTGACAATCTGTTAAAAAGATACAGCCATCTCACCATTCATGACAGTGTCAGCTATAATTCAACGGACATCACTTTGACCCTGAACTATTTGGAAAAATATGTTAATGGAAATGTTTGCCTAGTTTTCAGGTTAAAGAAGAGATATCAGAAAATATGACACTGAATTAGAGTTGGTGCTGAATTAAAGAAAACCACAGAAGTCACTCTTGTGCCAAATAGATCTAGCTCTATTTAGTATTTCTCTTTTTTAGAGAATGGATGAAATTTTTAGATTCTAAATGGCTCCCATAAACCACTTCACTAGGGATTTGTTTTTTTAAAGGCTTCTGATATTTTCATTTTGCTTTCTTAGTGGCAAAGCATTGTGGATGCCGTTTTGTCTATTTTTCTCATTGTTACTTGCTATACTGATGAACAGATATATAGGGAGGGGAGGTGTTACTTACTCTGAACATTCCAACAAAAGACAACTTAATGAGAAAAACAGATACCAGTTCCTCTCAGGAAAGACCTTCTGAGTCAGGATAATTGGCAATGAACTAACAGCTCTAATGAGCATGAAATCTTGTTTAAGTCAAAATGCTATAACATGATCTAGTATAACATGTAGTTTGCACACTAAATTGCTACGAAGATCATTTGAAAAGTAAAACTGTCACAGTGGGAAGAGCTTTGTTATGCAGCTGTCCACTATGAGAAAAACAATAATAGAGTATGGCTTTGTTACTTTGAGTTTGCTTCTGCAGCATCCTAATCCTCCTTGCAGAGCTTAGAAAGATCTCCAGTTGGGATTGCAATCAAAACTAGGCACAGAATACTTTGCGGCCAGCTGACAGGTTGACTGGGATATCCTGGGTATTTGGGTACAAAATCCCAATTCTTCAGGCAGAGTAAAATAGACCAAATTCGGTATATGTCCCCAAGAGGTCCAAAACAAAAATCAAGGGGGGGGGGGAGGTCCTTGCAATTTTCTTATCCATGTCAACTGAAACTGTAGCATGAGACAAAAAGAGATAAATTATCTTTTATTCTTGCTCTCACACAGAAAACCAAAATTATTAAACTTATTTGTACCCCGCTAGCATCTCCCGAAGGACTCGATGCGGCTTACAAAGGCCAAGGCCTCAACACAACAACAATAGACAATAACAATATGATACAAAGCAAATTAAAAACATAAGCAATAACAAAACATTACACTATAACGCAATAAAACCAGGGCCGGGCCAATGAAGCTCCAGGGTTTTCTAGATGACAACAACTACCTCAAATATGAATTCAAATATGGATGCTACCACACTATTTGCTTTTTTTGGAGCAGCTAATTAACACCTTATACACCAATTGGATTCCAACTGTAAAGAAACTGCATAAATAATTTTTTTTTCATGTTTTCAATTGTATTAAAACGGGGGGGGGGGGGAGATAATTGTGCGACCCTCAATACCTTGTTGGACTACAGAAGCTCCAACAAGCATATGCAATGGCAAAAAATAACTGGAGAGTCACATAATTTCTACCCCGATGTAATATTACACTAGCTACATAGACTGTGCTGACTTGTTGGTGTGAGCAAGCTTAGGGTCCAATTTATGGCAATGTAAGGTGACACCCTCATTTTTCTTGGTAAAATGTGTTCAAACAAAATGGGCAGTTTTCCTCCATTGAGGATGTGTGATCAGCCCAAAATCATACTGTTGGTTCCTGTCATTGATGGGGATTTGAACCCTGGTCTTCAGAGCACTCGAACAACTACACCACACTGCTAACTTACCCTCTCTTAAATGTACACAGGGAGCTACTGCCAAGCTACAGAACCAATGGCATAGTTACTAGAAAAGGATGGAAAGCAGAACTGATGACATACTTACTAGAAGTGGGCAGAGAACCACATAAGACATAGAACCTTTGAATCAAGAGAATTTTAGCATGAGTTCTGTAGCACATAGAAGCACCCAGACACAATTAATAAATCTCTTTTTGGCCTGCCTCCAGTAAAATCTTTCTTGTACTATTGGATACGCAATTCAATATAATTGCTATTAGTTATACACAATGATTCTGAAAATTACTGAATTTACAAAGAGCGGCTTACAGACAAGGGGAGAACACTGGGAAAGACTAAAAAAATGTAGCAGACCCTCCCTTCCACCACTTGCATTAATTGATGAGATTAAACCAGAAGGCAGAACTAAAGCTCAAATAATGCATGGTTGGAATGAAGGGCTGTCAAGGAATAGCTCCCATAGCACTTTCCTAAG